CCTTTTAATTGTAAACATAGCCCTCACTATCTGCAAGGCCAGCAAAGGGGAAAGGATGGACTTTGTTTGCCTGGAAGGTACAGGGAGTGACCTCTTGGGCTGAGAACCTTTCTTACTTTCAGAGGCTCATGTCTCCTCCCTTCGAGAACCAGGCAAGAACAATCCCTATTCCCTATCTAGCTGTGCCTTGGGAGGTTATTCTGGGAGTCCTCTCCTGTGGCTGTGGGCAGCCCACATTTTGGAATAGGTCATGTTTTGGAAAAACAAGCAGAAGAAGGGAGTGGGCAGTGTGGGTGGTGTTGAGGGAGTGGACCTGGCCAACCTGCCAAGGTGAGGCCTTCCTTTTCATGATCCACTTGCCATAGTTGAGCAAATGTGAGGGGCCTGTGGACTACTGTCCCTCAATCTGCCTGAGGGACTTTTCAAATGAGATTTTTCCATAGAAAAAGAAATGCATATAATTTCAAATCCCTATCATACAAAAGAGCATATAGTGAGAAGTTTTCCTCTTACTCTAAGCCCCCAGTCCCCATCTCCAGAAGCAGCCACTCTTACCAGGCTGTATGTATTCTCTCAGAAATAACAGAAATTTCTCTTGGAAATGTTCTCTTTTTTTTGCTTCCGAGCTAGTTTGAACTTTAACTCTAATAACTCCTTTTTTCTCACCTCGAGTTTAACCATATACAAAAAGGTAAAAATAGTATAATAAAACTCCCAAATACCTATCACCCAGCTTCGAAATTTTCCAATATTTGGCCAATGTTATTTCATTTAATTTTGTTGCTGTAATTTTCTGGGAAGGAAAAATCCCAGACTTCATGACATATCATCTATAAATCTCTAACTGATAAAGAACTTACAAAAAACATGCTATTACCACACCTGACAAATATAACAAAGTCCATAGTATCATCTGGTCCCCACTGACTGATTTTAAATCCCATTGATCCTACAAACTACAGGCAACTTGACCTGCCTGGTTTTCTAACATGGTCCTCCCGCTTAGGCTGAGAAGTAGAGTTGGCGGCTCGGGACACAGCAGCCTGAAGCCTGTTCATCCTCTCTGTGGCTCTTCCTGCTCAGGGCAGAAGCTCTCTGTTCAAACATTTTTTTGGAGCAGAACAATCTCCCAAGCAACATCAAAGCAATGTGAGTCTGGAGAGAGGCCTTCTTTAGAGGTGGCTCTGTCCTTTGCCTGTTGGAAAGCTGTCTCTGTACCCCACAAGGAAAATGGAACATGGAACATTGGTCCTCAGGAGTTAGATGAATATTTGACAACCAAGGGTAGTAGTAGTATTTCTGTTGTGCTCAGAGATTGTTTCAAACATGCTTTCTCTTTGCAGGGGCTACTGTGCCAAAGCTGGCCGAGTTTTCATGTTTGTGGAGGTGCATTATGTGGACAACTAATTTCTTCACATTGCTAGTAGCTGACTGGTGCTCCCCAGGCACTCCTTTCCTGAGTTTATTAATCTGATTATTTTGGCTTTCAGGCTACCCTTCACTCCGCAAGCCATGATCATCTCCTCTTCCTGAATACACATTAAACTCATCACCCACTCCCATCCATCCTTACACAGCTCCCTAAATCTTTAGGTGAGGAAGAAGAACAGCCTCCATTCCTCCACCTATGCCAGCTCAAAGTATGTGACATCTCTGGCCCTCAGCCCTCAGTTCTCTTGGCCAGAAAGGCATGACGAAGCCAATCAGCATGACATAGTCACCTGGCCAAGCCCCTTGCCCATCCCTGGGCATAAGAACAAGGTGGAGACAGGAAGACATGCTCCATCAAGAAGTATAGAGAGAGAAAAAGAAAGAGACAGAGAAACAGATATGCGAAGAGAAACAGAGACAGAGATAGAGAAACAGAGAAACTGTTCTATTGGCAGGCACATAGGGAATAATACATTGCTCGCCTGCCGCCAGTCAACCTTCTGTGCCAGGGCTAGAAAAACTGTAGAAAGAAGCCACTTGCCTCCTAAGTTTGGTCTGGGAGAACATTATCTTGGGGAAAAGAAGCAAAGCCTCAGCTCCAGAAGTTCCAAATGTCAGCAGGTAATCCCTGGCTTTCACTGATACTGTGTCTTCTCTGTTCTCCTTTATGATCTTCTACATGGACATGGAGAAGTGGGCCACCAGATTGGACACTTGAGCCCTTATTTAGTTTCCTGGGAGAAATTCACTGTACTTCCCTGAGTTTTAGAGTTCAGTCTATACAGTGAAGCAAAGAGAACCGACTTGCCCAGTGGGCTTCAAGAATCAGGCACAATGGGATCACAAAGCCAAGAGTAGAGGCAATACCCAAGTGTTTTGGAATTATTTGTAAGAAAGCTGTACAAACAATCAAAGCAAGCTATGATCAAGGGGGTCTAGATCCTCTGAGGTACCAGCAGAATTACATGGAGCCAACTGTTTACTAGTTTCATACAATCCTGCATTGTTCCCACAGGCACCCAATGCAAGCAACAGGCTGCTACCAAGAAGGCTGGCAGTGCCCTCTTGAGGAATCCCTGGGCACTGCCGGGGACCCAGCTGAACTCTGGGGAACATTTTACCAAGGGCACCCAGCAGAACCATTTGGAAGCGAAACCACAGAAATAGGTGTGTGTGTGTGGGGGGAGGAGGGTGGATAAAATAAAAAGCCCCCTTGGGGGTCTGGAAAGAAACCCTGTGAAGGCTGTGAGAAAAGCTCAAGAGGGGTGGTGAGTGGGTGCTGAGGCACAGTGTCAGGACTATAGAACAACTGCAACATACTAGATTCTGGGGAGCTGGGAACCTTAAGGCACCAGGGACAGTGAGCATGATGTAGTGACCTGGCCAAGCCCCTTGCCCATCCCTGGCCATAAGAACAAGGTGGAGAAGGAAGACATGCTCCATCAAGAAGTATAGAGAGAGAAAAAGAAAGAGACAGAGAAACAGATACACAAAGAGAAACAGAGATAGGGATAGAGAAACAGAGACACAGAGAGATTGAGACTTAGAGAGAAGGCAAAGTGAATAGTAAGGCAATAGCAACAGAGGAAGGGAGAAGAGAAATGTGTGTTAAGCAAATGTGTTTGAAAATTTGGTGTCTGTGGGTTTATTGGGGACACATCTTTTTTTTCTGAGTAGCCTAGCAGTACCCAGACTGCACCTGAGAATCCAGGGGCAGATTTGTGAGAGGGCTCAGCCTGAGCAATCTCCCCTGCATGCAAGGCTACCTTATCTATTCAAGCTGTGAAAAACCATCTCTCTCATCCCTAAATCAGAACCCCCAAAGTTTGGACTCAGTTCCTTCTGTCATCTGAGGAGCTGAGGGCACGCATTTGGGGAATTCTTGTTCTTGGTCCATCCTCTGTTCCAGAGCCATTCTGACAAAAACCATCTAGAAGTTAATTTTTGGCACAATCATATAACCCAGCTTCCTCAGCATGTAGAGTCTATGGCTGGAGAGCAGGGTTGGTAAGGCCAGGGGTCTTGGGACACTCTACCCTCAGTCGTATGGCCTTAGTGTGGTCTGCTCTGGTCTTGGTCAGCAAAAGGGGCAGCAAAAGATATAAATGTTCTAGGACTCTGAACAAGCCTCCAACATTGCAGGATGCAGGACTCTGGTGGACCCATTAGGGCCTCTGCAGAAGACTCACCCTTTTCCTAACAACAGAGCCCAAGCCAGAAACAAGTCCAAGATCATAGCTCAAAGAGAAAACTGTAAAACACAATCTTGCCTCTCTCCCACCACAGGAAGATTCTAGGCTCTTCTCAGTACCTTCTTCTTTTCCTCTCTGACACCAAACCAAAGCCATAGGAAAAATTCTAGGGGCCCATACCTTCTTTTCCTGGAGTCTTCCAACAGGTCCCCCTCCCCTTATATGCTAATCCATTTCCTCAAAGCCCTCCCATGGGAGGATATGGGCCTCAAGTTTAATAGAGTTATGCCTTTCAGAAGCTCCTGAAGGGTTAGAGAACACTAACAAGAAACCAAGATAGACATTGGTTAAGATTCACCTCTTCTAGACAACCTTGTCAGGCTAATCCCACTTGACACTGGGCACTCAAACACCTTCATAGTCTTTAAAAGCAATTATTATTGATGAGGCAGGTTTCATATATTATTTCCCTATTTTTGCTGCTTTGCCATTTTTTCTTAGTGTTTCTTTCTCTGAGGCAAGAACTATATTTTCTTTCCCTTTCTCTCCACCCTCATTGGCGCTCGCTGCTTCAACCCAACCCACTCCCTGCCTCTCACTGGCCTGCCCTCAGCTCTCTGATAATACTACATTCTCAGAATGGGATATTGGCTACCTGAATCTCAGATTATGTTCTTGAGTCAATTACCCTCTTTGGAAATCACCTACATCCCTAACTCTGACCTTTTTCTTTAGCCTATTCTGTGAACCTACACAAGTCTGGCCCCATCTCCAGGTCTCTGTTGTCCTCTTGATAAAATTATAACAATTCTAGCCTTTCCCAGCGTGGTCAAAATCTGTTTGTGGAATCAACAACTTGTATTTTGTCCTCATTCTGTTAGAGGATTTGGAGGAAATTGTTTTAAAAGACAAATTTTTCTTCTCTATTGTGTTTCCGGAGCTAGGTTGGGGAAGGGTACTTATTTGCCAAGGAGTGGGGGGAGGGGAAAGGTGGACAGGGCCAATGGCAGCTGTGAGTGAGAGGTAGGGTTGGAGCCAGAGTTGAAAGGACTCTGGGAGATAGCAGGTAGGTTTTTGACCTTGACCCCCTCACCAGAGCTACTATTTCCATGGCTTCTGACACTTGTGCTGCCACATCCTACACCAAATAGATCCAAGGATCAATTGGAGGCTTCCAAAAGCTCTTCTTTTTATTTCCAGCCCCAAACCACATTTCCAGATGTCTCTGCAGCAAAGTGAAATTCCACACAGACAGCCTTAGGGAAAAAACAAAATTGGCAGTGAAAGGCAGAAAAAGAAGATGAATCCCTTAGAGAAGGGAATATCTTTAAGTAGGTGGGGGCAAGAGGAGGAGAAGGGGTGGAAGAGAGGAAGAGGAAAGCAGGCCTGTCCCTTTAAGGGGGTTGTCTGTCAATCAGAAAGCCCTTTTCATTGCTGGAGAAGAGGACAAAGATACTCAGAGAGAAAAAGTAAAGGACCGAAGAAGGAGACTGGAGAGACCAGGATCCTTCAAGCTGAACAAAGTCAGCCGCAAAGCAGACTAGCCAGCCGGCTACAATTGCAGTCAGAATCCCAAAGATATGGGTGAGTTGCAAAAATTTTAGCATGGAAGACTCAAATAGGCAGAGGAATGTGCAAGAGAATTTTCAACTTTGAGATTTCGGGGTTTTCAATGGTTTCAAAGAGTTGTGCTTTGGCACTTGTTTTCTTTTTAATTCCTTAGCACTCAGTTAGATTAACTCTTTCTCTGCTGTATTGAGAGTGATGCTTTATTGCCAAAGAATTCCAGCAGCATGTGTAGAGTCTCACAGGTCCTTGGAGAGAGTGCCCAGTGAGCTGGATGTGGTCATGTGTCTTCCTACCTCTTCACTTCCTTCTACCTTCTCTTTTACCCTGGTTCCCAGGCTCTGATAATGGGTGTGTCAGCTAACATCCCTGGTTCTGCTGGAAGCAACTGAGTGTTGGCTAGCCCTCAGATATACTAAATAACTGCTTGCTTAATACAAAATTTAGACCCTGTTTGATAATGATAGGAAATTGGGGAATTGGGCAAGATGGATTCAGGCTTGGCCATGACTGAGGAGGCCAATCTTAAGTTTAGGAAATTAAAATAAAGTCTTCAATGGCTTTACCATGGGGAATAGATATAAGTAGGTATGTGTGTATGTACCTGTGTGTGTCTGTGTGTGCACATGTGTATGGGTGACCATATCTAACAAATATCACAGACAGCCTTCCTGAGGGCATGGCCTGGATTCTAAATCTCTCCCATGACAAGGAGGCTGCTGGGACCTCAGAGCTCTTGCTGATTTGGCTGAGTACTGAGGGCTTTGACAGGTTCTATAAATAGAGAAGCTATGAGGCCTGGTTTCTGGTAGTGTCTACTCAGAGCAAGCTGTGCAGAGCACAGGGTCTTTGTCCACACAAGATGCCACACAGATGTGTAGACATTGCTCACATCTGGAAAAACAAGAGCAGCAGCTCAAATGCATCCTATATGAAATGAAAATCAATTGCCCTGTGTATTCGCCATCAGATGTAGTACCCAGAAGACTCCAGCAACATCCAGGAAGATAGGTTTCAATTCTATTAAGCTGGTGTCAGCCTTTAGGTTGTTTCATCGTGAAATGCCAAGAGAGCTCCTTGAAGCATGTATTCAGGTAGGATAATTAAGAAGGTAGAGCACTGGGCTAGAAGTCAACACAACCAAGTTTTAATCCCACATCTGCCACATATAAACTTTGTGAATTTGGGTAGGTCATTGAATTATCACTTCTTCATCTGGAAAATGGAGACCACAATAATAGTTTTGTATACTTTCAGGGTTGTGAAAATCAAGTTATAATGATGTGAAAGTCTTTTGAAAATGGGCAAGCAAGCTCGATAACAATTGTAAATCATGATAATACTGATTATTATACAATCCCTTGTATACAGGCTGACTTTTACTTTTTCCAAAGTGGTTGGGTTTTCTTTGTCTGCACTTGGTGCTCTGGGTAAGAATTATTTGACCAATTGAGAGTGTCCAGGTGAGAGGTGAATGTTTGAGAAACTCAATTCCTGCCCAAAGTAACATTAGAAACCCTACCTAATGTCAGGGCAGCTGCTTGGGTAGGTTGTGAATTAAAAACAAAGAGTGAAAAATGATTCTAAATATAACTTTCTCAGGGTATTAAAGCCCTGAGGAAAAAGCAGGAACAGATAAAGTGACCACAGGGACAGTTTCCTGTTTTGGAGGCTTGATGATTTCCTCCAGGGCTGATTGCCACAGATAAGGGCACTGTTGAGGTCATGTATTGGATCCCAGATCCTAGTAGTGGGCGATACGTGGGCCAGGTGTACATGACTTTTCAGTTATTCAATAACAAAATATTTCAAATATTCTGTAAATAATAGACCATCTCCAACAAAGAACTGAATTGCTACTACTTCTGACATGGAGTGTATGGCTATTTAACAATCATAGTAGACACATAATATCATGGAACTTGGGGTTGGAAGGAACTTGAGAAACTGAGTGAAATTGCAGTTCAGGAGTCCCTTCAACAACAGCCAGTTAAATCTTCCTACAGCCTCTCTTTAATCACCTCCAGGAACAGGGAGCTCACTATCTCAACCATATAGAATCTCATAAGATTGAAAGCAAAGGGGAACAGTGAATTTAGTAGTGTCTGCACAAAAGGTTTATGAGGGAAATAATAGTTCATTAAACCTTGTTCCAACTTGGGAGGAGGATATTCCAAATGAGTCTTTGAGATAACAATGGAACCAGAAAAGATCCAAAGAGCAGTAGCTGATTACTCTCTGCTCAGTAACACAATGCCATTACTGAATAGCAAAACGTTGGCTCCTGCTAGCTTGTTTCTGAGAACAGTGACTGTTACCCTGGTAACCAAACTGTGAGGCTTCTCTCCAAAGGTGGCTGTTTGCCCAGCAGTGTAGTTTTGGCTGGCTGAGAGTGAATGTAGCCCAGGCAAAAAGTGACAAGGCAGAACAGGGGTCTAGTTTTACAAAATGCCTGAATGCTGACTGAATCCCACCAAAAATGCCATTAGAATTCCAGGAGCTAAAAAGAAAGAAGACCCAAACCAGCACATTCACTTACTCTTAGAGACACTGACTGGAACGAACACAGATAGTCTTCCCCACTCCACCTCTCACCTTGGCCCTGCAGAGCCAGAGGAGTTATTGGAGAGCCAGGCCAATTGAAAAGTCTGCTCTGCTTCGAGGGTCTTTCATCTTGGCTCTGGGCTAGGAAAGCCAAGTTTACTCAACAACCTGACAACCAGAACTGCTCTCCCAAAGCTATCTCAGTGTAACAAGGCTCAAGAAACACCTGGGAGTTGGATGTGGGGGGAAGTATAGTTTCCAAACCCATCAAGGCAGAACCCCAGACAGTGGCATCTTTTTTCTCTTGTTGACTTTTTGTGTATTATCTCGAAGCCCTGAAAACCATACTTAGGGTTTAGTTCTTGGCCTTGAAAGAAAGCAGCAGTAGGAATGCCCTCATTGTCCACAGAACTTCAGGTCTAGCGAAGATCTAGTCAGGGCAGTGAACTGATCAAGAAGGCTCACATCAGCCATGGCAGGCAAACAGCAGTTTTCCTTTCCCATTGTCAAGGTCTACCCAGTGCCAAACTTTCATCAAAAGCTTAGCAAATACTGATAAATTAATTCCTCCTTTACTATTTTTAAATGGTCCTAAGGGTGATCTCTCAGCTCTGTGTTGACCTCTGAGCTCTCTGTCAGACATGACTCTGGAAAAGAGTCAGTGACATCCCAAAGAAGGTAACAAAGTTCCCCAGATCAGCTTCACACTGCAACCAATGAGAGGAGAAATTGGTGGGAGACTGACCTAAGGAATAAGGTATGGAAACTGTTGTCTCTTAGCTTAGTGTCAGGTGCTTCTCTTTCACCTTTCCACAGTGTGTCAGGAAGAGTTTAACAATCAAGCTTTTACCCCAGCCTCCCAGTGTTTGGGCATAAATCACTACGTGTGCGTGTGCATGTGCGTGTGCGTGTGCGTGTGCGTGTGTGTGTGTGTGTATGTGTGTTTGGGGAGGATCAGGGAGTATAGTAAACAAGGTGTTCCAGATGTTGTTGCTATGGTAATAATAATTCATATTCAGAGAGAAGGCTGAGATTCCTTTTGGTTTAACTCTGTCTGTATGACTTGACTATCCAGCAAGACTGGATAGTCTTGGATTCCCATGCCCCAGTGGCTGCAGGCTCTTTCTAGCCCTTGAATGTGGTGTCAGTATTGATTTCATGTAGGAAAGACAAAATTATAGGCAGGGCTTTGTCTGACCAGGATAAGGCCAGAAGCAAAATCTTTGTATCTAATACCTCCTGATGACTGTTGTTTTACTCCTAGAACCCACCCACTGATCCCCATCCATTCCCAGTACCAGTCACGGCTGTCTTAGCATCTTGGCCCTGTCAACTGCTTATAGGCCCTGATCAAGGAGTCCTCTGTTCAATGGGGTGAGGTTAAGGGGTGGGTTCTGGGAGGAGGGTAAAACTGTAGTGCAGATTAGAGACCTAGGGAGATGGGGCCAGTTTTTTACTCAATGAACTTGCCTGTTGTTTAGCTCTATTGTATAGGGTTCTATCTCCCTCTTTGTCAGCTGGATTCAAGGGACAGGCTGGGAATTGTTCAAGGAACAATTGGTCTCTTTCTACCATCCCATTTGATGAAAGCCCTTCCTCTCCTTCCTTTGATAAGTTCAGAGACTCACAGTGAATTTCCATCATGGAGCTGGTCCTTGAGGCGTGCCCAGGGCATGGGAAAGGAGGGAGGGCTTGAGAGCTCTTGGCTCTTGCTTAAAGAGACAGTATCAGGATCAACACAGTCCCTTGGTTAGACATGGATCTGGATAAAAGTCACAAGGGCCTGTCGATATTTGTCAGACTCCTGTGAAGATCATTAGTGAGAATGGCTTGAAGTTCTATCACAGATCGATTAGACCTAGTTTTGAGAATTTGTAGATAAATCTAGCCAAAACCAAACATTTCCCTTTTGCTTACATTTTGCCCACAGATTTTGGTTATATAGTTTTAAACATTAGATGGTAGGTAGCTTTAACCTTTGATTCACAGACATAAGTTTCTTCTCAAAAAAGCTGTACGGTCTTTGAAGAAAGGAACTGGTCTTTATAATTCCTTTTTTTTTCTCATAGTATCTAGGTTGCTGCTAACGTGCTTAATAATGGCACTGAATACACATAAATAGAAATAAGAGGAAAGTACTTTCTCTATGACCTCTCATTAAAGTCAGTTGGTTTAATCCAATTGGGTTGTATTGAGTAATATTATTACTATATAGTTCTTTTATGCCAACTCTCTATGTCCCAGGCTGTACTTAGTCTGTAAATGTGAGAATGTCGCTTAAGAAACCCAAGGAACTTCTCCAGAATCTCTCACAGCCTTCCTGAATCACACCAATATCCCTTCAATCATAGTGTTCTGAAATGGGGAGCCTGTGGCTTTAAGCTCTTCTTCTTACATTCCCATGTACATTTCTTGGGCTGTGAAAAATGAAAGTGAACCCAATGAATCTTTCTCAGATGTTTTGGTTGTCTACTACTTTAATGAAGACACAATTTCTTGCATGTTATGAGTTTTTCCCAGTTGGAACCCCAAATTTGATTTTTTACTTGAACAGACTGACAAATTCTTCACTTTTGATGAACTCATGTACCCCGAGAACAAACATTTCATTTTGATTGCAAAGACATGGCTGTCTGATGCTTATGCTGATATTGTTGAATTGTTTATAGCTCAACTATCCAGGGCTGATTATTTCTGATTCCATGTTAGAGATTCATTAAAACCTATGTTCTTCTTGTCCCTTGCTTTGAGCAGCAATTTTGGAGCAGAAAAAGATGTGCTAAGTTATTTGAGGTCTAAGAAAATAGAATAAAAATGGGTGTACGAAGAAAGAGTATCATTTGGTGATTCAGAGTTGCTCCAGAGGCCTAATCCTTTATTACCTAGTAAGAACACTACATATGACACTCTGGTTTTTTGGATGATGATCAACGGATCAGATACACTAAAGAGGATTTTCCTTCTTCTTTACAGCCCTGGAAGGGGGCATCAGCTAAAAATTAGAGTAGAATTATCTGGTTAGCAAGCATTCAAGTTCCTTCACCCCTGATTGCACCTGCACCATCATTTAGCCCTTCCCAGGATGAAAAAGCTGGAGGGAGTGAGTGGGCACAGGATGTTCACTTGTTAGGATGGATGGCTCTCCTTACTCTAAACAAACAGTTTTGCCATTGTTCACTGGGTCTAACTCCCTCTCCACCCTCAGGCTTGGGGGCCCCTGTAGAATACCAATGAGGTTCCTGAGATCTCAGAGTAAAACAAGGCTTCTTTGTCTGGGGGAGCTATGGAGGGCTCTGTCCAAGTGCTGACCCCGTGTTAGGGAGAGAAGGAACAGTGGGGTCACTGACCTTCCCCTCCCTCCACCCTCAGGCTTCAGAGACCTTCTTTACTAGAAGAGTCTAAGAGTTTTGGGGGTGGGGAAGAGTTGGATATGCAGGGAAAGAAAATGGCAGCACTGTTTATTTTCAAGCTCCTTTTCATGATTTATAAGATGCAACTAGTATCTTAACCTGTTGTGAAAGAGGAAGATCAATTTCTGAAATGTTTCAACTACTATGTTTTTCGATCTGGTGTATACATGCATGTGTGTGCACATTTGCATGTGTACATGTGTGAATGTGCATGTGCACGTGCATGCATGCACACATGTGTGTGCACAGACACACACACACACGCGCACACACACACACACACCCCGTGGGCCAATTCTGATGAGACACTCTTGCCAAGCACTATTGCAAAGTTCATGCTAAGTAAACTCTGCCTCCACTTAAGGCAGCACAGCTAGAAATTGCTTCCAATAGAGGCCGTGTTTTCTGACATCAGTGCTTCAGTTCTTGGAAAAGGAAAGAAATTCAGCTCTACTGCAAATGTTAACTACTTAATTTGCTTGGCTTGGGCTTCCAAGCCTCATCTCTGGTGTGATATATAAGAATCTTTGAGAAAGAGGCTCTTTGAGGACCAAGGAAGGGCTGTCATTTTAGGAAACAGTGGAAAATAGGACTCACTCATTCTATGGTTCTGAGAACAGAGACAAATGCCTCCACCTCAACTTTCCCATGATAGAGAAAATTTGGTCCTTCGGAATCTGTTCACGTTGATGCAGTTCAGCCATGTAAATCATGAGATGGTCAAGCATTCAGGGCTAAAAGGAAACAGTACTAGTGTTAAGAGGGTCTGGCAAAGGACTCCCCTGGTCCCTGTACCCTGGTATAGACAAGTGATCTTTGCATAAAAATAGAAACCTAAATATTAATATGATTTATTTTGTTTTTATAAGGAGTCCCAACATGCTTTTCCAAAATAGCAGCTCCTCAGCATATTTGCTGATTATTTGTGTGTGCGCATATATGTACATATGTACAAATAATTCATGCATACATATAATATATAAAAATACAGAAACAATTCATATATTATAGGTATATATTATATATGAATAGATATATAAATTCTGTGTATATGTGTGTATGTGCATATATATGTATATGTGTGCATATATATATATACATATATATATATAATCCTTTTCTGAAGAGATTAACATTTTTATTTCTTCTACTTTTTGGAGATCAGGCCAAGAGGCCAGAGGGAGCCATCCTTTCCCCATCTAGTCAGTCATCTACTTGAAAATTGTTGTTTCACTCCATGTGACACTTTAGAGCATGGGGCTGGTACTTGGGGCACAGCTATTCCTGGAGTCTGTGATTTCTTGTGTGCCTTTCCTGTTTCTCAGCCGGTCTGGGAATCTCAGGGACTGTTAACATTTTAGGACACCTGTGCTCCCAAGCCCTGGTGTGTTTTCATCATGCCAGGAAGACATTTCATGCTTTGCTGACTTTGTATAAAGTCTCTTTGTAGCTATTTTGACAGAACTGTAGTGTAAGACTGAGGATGGGGACATTGGCTAAGCTGTAGTATATGGGGACAAATCAGCCATACAAAATATTCAAAAATTATTAAGCCTGCCTTTTTATTACTGGAAATAACAATAGTAATTCTCCCATTACCATCTCCTGTCCTCTTCCAGTTCCCTCCTTCCCTTTGGGCTGCTTTTCACATATCTAGACTAAGAAAAATCAAGCATTCCATGCAGAACATACAATTTTTGGGAATATCCAGGAGCATGCAATCTCCAAAGTTACCCCTATCTGGAATGCTCTTCAAGGCCCAAATCCTATCTGGCTATACTGATATCTCTGGCTTGCACTCACTCCTTCCTGGAACTCTAAGTGCTTTAACCCTTTGTAATCACTTCCTTGACTGCCTGGGATTGTTAATTGAAAATATTAGGTCTACCTAACTCATTCTTCTTCAGTAAACAAGACTCCCATATGGCTGAATCTGTCTTTTATGTCTTCACATCTCACATAACATCTAGCACAATGTTAGGCACATAGTAGGTACTCCTTAAGAGTTGATTAATGACTAAATCAAACAAACCAGAATGATAAGAAAGGAGAGAATAATTGCATAATCTCTCTGGCTTGCTACTTGAATTACTGATTATTAAAAAAAAACACCTCAATTTCTGGGAAAGGTAAAGATTTATTTTCAAGAATGGAACAAAGTATGGCTTGGGAGTCAATCTCACATTCCAGAAGCCTAAAGTTCTAAATTCTCCTACTTTTGTATTCTGGGGTGACACTCTGTCCATGCATGTGAACACAGGGCCTGACTGGTCTGGCAGAGAGGTCTGAGTGACACGAGCCTCCTATTGTACATCCATGACTGTTTCCTGTTCTTTTTTCCTAGGGTTGTTAGAGTGCTGTGCAAGATGTCTTGTAGGGGCCCCCTTTGCTTCTCTGGTGGCCACTGGATTGTGTTTCTTTGGGGTAGCACTATTCTGTGGCTGTGGACATGAAGCACTTACTGGTACAGAAAAACTAATTGAGACCTATTTCTCTAAAAACTACCAGGACTACGAGTATCTCATCAATGTGTAAGTACCTGTCATTCCACTTAAACCTCCTCTTTTCCCCTCTCTCCATGTTGTAGATATAGAACTCATCAGTACCTTAATGGTTAGTGGGGGATTGGTGTGACACCAGAAATGATTCCTGAATTTTTCCTCTGTGTGCAGATTCCACCTGTGCCACATCTGAAGCCCTAAGTGAGGGGAAAGTGCCAATTTCAGAAAAGAGGGGTCTGCCTGCCCACTGCCCCCTGCCCTTGCTTTCTCCCATGTATTCTAACTTTTGCTCGGTAAGGTTAACATTGACTGAGTTGGAGCCTCTGCAGTGGTAGGTATGGAGAACTCGGGCGAAGCCCAATGACTAGACGGAGGAGGAACCTAGTGATCCTTCTAAAGAATCCCTATCCTTGTTTAGGTGTCCACTCAAGAGTCCACTTATGCGGGAAGGAAACTAGTTCCTCAATTAATAAGATTCCCTGGTCTCTTTTGTTGATCTGTTAATGCAGGATCCATGCCTTCCAGTATGTCATCTATGGAACTGCCTCTTTCTTCTTCCTTTATGGGGCCCTCCTGCTGGCTGAGGGCTTCTACACCACCGGCGCAGTCAGGCAGATCTTTGGCGACTACAAGACCACCATCTGCGGCAAGGGCCTGAGCGCAACGGTAACAGGGGGCCAGAAGGGGAGGGGTTCCAGAGGCCAACATCAAGCTCATTCTTTGGAGCGGGTGTGTCATTGTTTGGGAAAATGGCTAGGACATCCCGACAAGGTGATCATCCTCAGGATTTTGTGGCAATAACAAGGGGTGGGGGACAATTGGGCGTTAGTCTGTGGCCTCACCCCCACCCAAGGCTGGGTCCTTTCCAGGGACCTGGCTTTTGAGTGAGGAAGTGTTGGCTACAGCCCAACGAGAAGGTCAGGAAGAACGTGGTGCCCAGCTGGCTTAGCCTTGCCTTTAAAAAGTTCCCTAAAAATTTTCATCTCAAAATGAAAAGCATGAGTTTTGTGGGATGCTTTGTACAATCAGACCATTTCTAAGCCATCTGTTGGTATCCCTTTACTCCCCCCAAGAAGGGACCAAAACAAGAGTAGATCTGACTGCCCAAGAGTCTAAAATGCTGCCCATGAGATTGAGATATAGGTATCTGATTTGAGAGAGAAGGTGGATCATGGAAATTAAATAATTGACTCCAAGGTGGAATTCACAATATTCTGGGGTCCTACACAATTGGAGGTCCCAGAGGGAACTAGGATAAATCTGCATATTTAATGCTTCATCTTTGTCTGAGGGCTATCCGTGCTTCTACTGAAACACACATTGGTTTTCAGTCTCTAGAGTTAAAGGTCCTTTGGGGGCTGAACATCTGTTGGTGATGGTGATGTCTTTTGTGTCTAGCAGTTGGCTTAGAAAGGTTTTATTTTTTGGATATGAAATTCAAATCTCCTATTGGCTTTGTTCAATGACTAGGGATCAAAAATCCGGTGACAAGAAATATTTTCTAATCTCAGCCTAAGGCGATGAATGGCACAACTTTCTTTCAAGATCTGTTTTGATTTCTTCACACCTTATCTGCCCAAAAAATCTCCTGAAGCCTCTCTAACCCAGGGATCCTTCTCACTCCAACCTTTACCCATTCCCATCACCCTCCGTCACGTCTGGGGCCAGTTCTCTAGTAGATACTGCCAATGACATTTGACAGAGGTGCTCTGCTTACTAATTTTATTTGGTGGAGATCCTTGGAATCTGGTCTCATGTCTGGCACATGCCACTCCAGGATCTCTCAGTTTGTGTTTTGACATCTGCAGGCTAATGCTGATTTCTAACCACCCCATGTCAATTGTTTTAGTTTGTGGGCATCACCTATGCCCTGACCATTGTGTGGCTCCTGGTGTTTGCCTGCTCTGCTGTGCCTGTGTACATTTACTTCAACACCTGGACCACCTGCCAATCTATTGCCTTCCCCAGCAAGACCTCTGCCAGTATAGGCAGCCTCTGTGCTGATGCCAGAATGTATGGTGAGTTAGTGCATGTGTACCTTGGCACCTCAATCTTCTTATGGAAAAACTATGTATTTGGTTCTTCACTTAGGGTAAAGAGGGTGGTAATTATGAGAAAAATAAGAATATGGATGCCTGGATCTTAGCTTATTAATCTTTCTCCACTGAAATTGGAAGGATTTCTTCCTTTGGAAGGAAACTTCTTGGAAGTGAGGGGAGTTTTCTTGGCTGCACACAATGCTCTACCCTAGTTGACTGCTGTTCCCAATCCAGTAGCAGCACGTTTCAATAACAAACTCAAAATTTCACTATGAGAAAAATAAGAATATGGATGCCTGGATCTTAGCTTATTAATCTTTCTCCACTGAAATTGGAAGGATTTCTTCCTTTGGAAGGAAACTTCTTGGAAGTGAGGGGAGTTTTCTTGGCTGCACACAATGCTCTACCCTAGTTGACTGCTGTTCCCAATCCAGTAGCAGCACGTTTCAATAACAAACTCAAAATTTCACAACTATTCAATACCATCTGCTATTTTTTTTTTTTTTTTGGTAAATCTTTAGAAAAGAGGATCCTGATTGTTAGTAGGGTCCACCTTTTCAGCCAAGATAATTAAAGATGGAAGATGGGCTCTGAAGGAAAATCTCTATATGGCCCTACAACTCTGTGAAGCTCACCTCAGTTGACTTGTGTGTCTTACTTAGGTGTTCTCCCATGGAATGCTTTCCCTGGCAAAGTGTGCGGCTCCAACCTTCTGTCTATCTGCAAAACAGCTGAGGTGAGTGGGCCATTTGGGTTACTTTACAGAGGAATGTCTAGTACCATACAAATTCCTACACATGGACTTCCATTTCAAGGACCACAGTTTCTCTTTGCTGGATTTTGTCTTTTACAAAATATTGGCTGAGTACACCTGAGCCAATGAGCATAATGGTAAAAATATCTATATTCCTTAGAACTACATAGAAAGCTTTCCATTCCAAGATTTCCTCCCTTAAAAGAAATTTGTAGCTTTAGGTAAATATAGAGCTTAATGGTAAAATCCCCCACATGAAATTTTTCTTTCTTTTAGTTAAACACCTTATCAAGAACATGGGTTGTATACAGAGACATTCATGGATTTTACAAAACACCTTCAGTTTGGAACTTTTCAATCTCTTATGAGAAGTAAAAAAACAGTACATTTGAAAAAAGAAAACACTGTATTGAGAACAGATAATGTGCACAAATGAGGCAGAGGAATAAAAGCAAATCCCAAGAAAGAAGGCAGTAAATAATTTATTTGAAAATAAAATGTTGGCTTTAAATTTTGCATTCTTAGACACAATTGTAGAAAAACAATTGATTAACATGTTTTATGAGTATTTTATGAGTATTCTGTGTTCTGGGTTCTATGGGGCTAGGTGCTATGGTGTACATTAAGGAACGGGAAGACTAAACTAAGGGAAGTGACAACTTAGTTAAAGATGCAGAATTAACACAGAGAAAGAGAAAGATATCAACACATTCAGAAAGCTGCGTTCATGATCTACAGTGAACCATATTTTTGCTGTTGCAAGAAACAATTCTTCTCTTTCCATTTTCTTGCAGTTCCAAATGACCTTCCACCTGTTTATTGCTGCATTTGTGGGGGCTGCAGCCACACTGGTTTCGCTGGTGAGTTGTCTTTGAATGATCTTGGCAAATCAATGGTCCTGGGATAGCTGGTGTCCAGCTATGCTGAAAGGCAAAAAGATAGACTCTTTCTAACCTTGAAATGCTGGTAGGAAGCTACTCGGAAGAGACAGCGAAGTGTAGAGACTGTGCAATTCTACTTTGGGTTGCCAAGGCAGAAAAACTTCAGAAATTAGACAGGAACAAGAAAAATGGTGTGAGGAAAGAGGAGATAAGAGATTCATAGTTAAGAATGATATTATTTAGCATTTACAGAGCATGTAATATTGCCAGATGCTTTACAGTCATACATTACAATGAATTCTCAACACATCCTCATCAGATCAATGACAAGAACACTGAAATATTATTCAGTATGGGTTTTCCAAAGCCTGGGATTCTATATACTGTAAATAGAATTCTATCTTGGACACTCTTTAAGGGATTTAGTTACTCTCTTGAAAATACCTAACAGTATGTGAGGATTGTTATTACTATAATGTGATTCTATGTCCCAAATCTTGCTGATGGTGTTACAATGCAGTGTCAATGTAGTGTGTTTATGGTTCAGATTAAAAACATAGGGTGAAGCAATTCATCTGAAGTCATTGAGTAAATGGCCAATGTTTAAGAATAAACTTGAAGAACTCCTGCCTCCTACTGCTGAGGTTTTTATAACAGAGATGAGTTGTTTCTCATTTTCTAAAATAAACTGATGCATTAAGCACAGGAAGGCTATAATGCATAATGTGGTGTTGTGTCTACAGCAGGAACTGTGTGACTCCAGATCACTCAGACATGTAGTTAGAATGATAGCAGAACCCATGTATTGTTCACTTACCTCAGTGCTAGGCCAAGCATAGGTGTGGAATAAATCCTTGTCGAGTTTCTTCTCTGGGCTTGGACCATTGAAAGGAAATGTCTCAGAGAGGACTTCTAGTCAAGTATACAGGGCTTTGTTGCTTTTTATGGAACAGAAGTTTTTCCTTTATTTAGCTATGATTTTATTTCGACCCTTCCTCATTCCCAAAAGGATTGGAGGAGGGAGAGCTTTCTTTTCTACTTTCACTCATATTCTCCCTTCTGTTCCTTACAGCTCACCTTCATGATTGCTGCCACTTACAACTTTGCCGTCCTTAAACTCATGGGCCGAGGCACCAAGTTCTGATTGCCTGTAGAAATTTCCTTTTCTCTAATAGTGAGACTCTAACCACACAGCCTAGAATATTGCATCTCCCATTTTAACTCTTTGCCTTTGTCACTTACTGGCCCTCTTCTTGACAAGTGTAACAGGAAAGGAGAGTCTTGCAGTGATTAATGTCTTTCTGTGGACTCTTCCCTCTTACGTACCTCTTTTAGTCATTTTGCTTCACAGCTGGTTCCTGCTAGAAATGGGAAATGCTTAACATGGTGACTCCCCAACTGCAAGTTACAAAGAAATGGAGGCTCTAATTCAATTTTCAAGCATCTCCTGAGGACCAGGAAGCATTTTCTTTTCAAAGGGCATTTCCACTGATGGAAACGAAATGGAGAAAAATATGTTCAGAGAAGGGATATACCTGGTCCCTTGTCATCTATAGGGGGCAAATATATTCTCCTTGGTGTGCAAAACAGAGAACTCACTCTTATCTCCCTATTACCACTGAAGATAGAAGAAAGAAAAAGAATGACAGCAAAACAATATGAGCATTTGCCCAAATCTCCCTATTGCATCTGGGAAGGGGTCAAAGCAAGGATCTTTCACCCATAGAAAGAGAGCACTGACCCCAATGGCAAAGGACCATTTAAACTCTAACTCAGCCAACCTAACTTATAGCATAAGGGAGCATAGTGTCTGTGTAGACAAAGGGGGCACCTGGCCTTACACCTCGTTAGAGAGAAACAGGTGCTGCCAGAATCTTCTCCTTGAGAACAGCTACCATGACAACCCTGGGGTTTTCAAGGAGCTGAGAATAGAGAAACTAGCTCAGCTGAAAAAAGACTGGCTTGAGCAGCAGTTGTTAGTGGCTAACAGTGTAAACTGAGCCAGCCCTCTGGTAGACACAGGATAGATAACTCTTTGGATTGCATGTCTTTTTTCTGTTAATTAGTTGTGTACTCTGGCCTCTGTTATATCTTCACAATGGTGCTCTTTTCATGGGGTATTATTCATTCAGTCATGGTGGGTGATTTGAAGATCTTGATTTGTTTCAGAATGATGCACATTTCACGTTTTCCAGTTTGTTTATCACTTGGTTGGGGTTGTACCAAAAAGGTCTGGAGAATGATTCTTTGAATATAATTCTTTAACAAATGGAAATTGGATGTTAAAAATCACCAGTGATATGTAAAATTGGCTTGTTCTATGCATCTATTGGGATTTTCTACAAATTACTTTGTTTTTCGAAGAAATAGATTTGGTGACTTTGAACCTCAATTTGAATAACCTATTATTTTAAACATTGGTTGATCATTCTTTCTGGCTAGTGAGAGATGATTTGATTTAGCAATGATACATTGTGTGTTAAAGAGTCATATTTAACATACAGATTATTCTTTCCTGGTATAGATCTCGTAGCTGAATGTATTAGTCATCAGCTATTCAGTTAGCAAGCTTCCACAGAAAAGGAAAGATGGAGAGTATGAAACCTGAATAGCTCCCAAGTTTCAGTCTTCTCTTTCTTATTTATTAACTTTGGGTTAAAAAATAAAAGGCTGATTGGTCTTTATTGAAGAAAAGATTTTAGAGGTATGACTGTAGGTGCCTCTTTTGTTGTAAAGAGTTGTTTTGTTGTTTTGTTTTGTTTCTCCCAAAGTGGTTTCAGCAATGTTTAAGGAGATGTAAGATCTTTACAAAAATACACTTGATATTCATTTTCAGACCAGTATACCAGATAAGCTTCCAGGCTGCATAGAGGGAGGAGATGGAAAAGTTCTGTAAGAAACCAATCAAGATCAAAGAAAGTGAAGTAATCCATACCTTGTATTTTGTTTCGATTTAATAACATAACAAATAACCAACTCTTCCCTGAAAACCTCCCAAGCATACATACATACATATACACACAGGAAGAAAGTTAATCAACTGAAAGTATTTCCTTCATTTCTGATATAGAATTTCAATTTTAACACACATAAAGGGTAAACTTTTAGAAACTTATCTTAAAAAATGTATTTTATAAAATTAAAGAAAATAAAATTAAGAATGTTCTCAATCAAACATTGTGTCCTTTGAGTGAAGTATTCTGTTTAACTCCACAATAGAACTCGAATAATTGTACTTTTATTGTGCCTTGTCCAAGAAACTCATTTATTTTTCAGGTTGCCAGAGTCATTCTCACAAAAATTCTCTATAATAGAGTAAATAAATTGCTTCTAATTTTACATCTGGAAACACTAAGAAATAGAGGCAAAATAAATTACCCAAAGAAACCCAATAAATACATATTTGAACTTGGACTAGAACTCAGATCTTGATACCAATTCATTGCCTGTTTTAAGGTTTCTTTTCTCTTAAGTTGGGTTTTAGAGTGTTCTGCTAATTCAGGGTCAAACATGTTTACTTCTTTAATATGATAATGGTGCCCAGTACTGGTATGTTTAGGATTAAGTTATTGTCATCTTTTCTTTGAATTGTTTGAATTTTCCAATAATGAGCCCTTAATGCTTTATACATAAATAATGCTTATCTTTTTCTGAAAAGTACTGGATGAAAGGTTTAATGTTGGGAGCAGAGCAGATATGGTAAGGGCAATATAAATTTAAACAGCCTGTGGCAGGACAGTATTAAAATAAATTAGTGACATCTAATACCCTGATTGGCCAGCCCAGTGGCCCACTTGGAACACTGCATTAATTTCCTGTCACAACCTGAGGCTAGAATCTGGCACTCTTGGACAGCACTCTAACCACCAGCCTAAAGAAAGCTGACTTAAAATCTGCTGTAGATTCATTGCCCTGTAGTTGAAGCTGGTAAGGAGCATGGCTGGAGAGAAAGGAGACTAGCTGGGGGCAACAAGTCAGTCATCAGTTAATAAGCTCCATTTAAAAGTAGCTTCAATTTAATCTGATTTCTGTTTCACCACAATTAATATTTTGCAAGCAAGTCTGGTTGGATGACTTTAAGACAAAAATAATAAAGATATGACAAGGACTTATTTTTAAACACTGGCAAACAAGGACACAACACTGTACTTTGGAGAATGGATTCAGGATGCTATAGAGTGAATGTATTTTTGCCTCAGGAGCAAGAAGTCAGTTCCCAAGAAAGCTGTGTTCTCCATTTGCCCTTATTTGGCTCTGCCCTCTGGGATCCATCTATAGATGGAGTTTTCAGGCTCTCAGAAGCTGAGAGCATCTCCAGTATATCAATTGAGCCCATTGTTCTTAGCTCTCCCACACACCATAAATCTCAGTTCTCTGAACTGAAAGAGACCTCTTTGTATTTAGACCAATCAAAGATCAAGATGCAGCCGTATAAACAAGAAACATTTTCTTACAGCATCAGTTGTGTTGCTTTTCCTATCTTCAGGGTCAGTACTGCATGCAGTTATGCAGGGCATGGATGCTGCATCTTTAGCCAGAGCAACACTTGTTCATGCATTAATTCAGTCTACAAACATTTATGGAGCACCTACTAAGCTTTTTGCTAAACTCTGGGATTTTGAGTTTGGGAGTGGTGTGGGTAGAAAGGTGATAAAGATATTATCTTACATTCAAGGATGTCGCTTAGCCTCAATCACAGCAGAGAGGTCTCCCAGAGTGGAGTGAAGTGGATGCAAGAAGCATGCAAGAAGCAATCTGACCAGCTGACTGCATTGGGCATCTGAATTCTCCTCTCAGTATGTGGGAGAGGTGGTGGTTAAGGGCCATCACATGGCTCTCGTTCTCTCAGCCCCTGAAAAAAAACAAAACTTCAATTTAGAGTCCTGACAACTTGTGACTTGCTCTCTTATGTCACCCTGCTTCTGGCCTTACATGTGACAGTATTATGCACACACTGTCACAATGCATGTGCATGCTTTCACCCACTCAGTCATCTGAGGAGTCAAAGAGCAGGCACATGGGTCAGGATTTACACAAATATGGGCTATTTATCATGGTTTTTATTTCCAACCAGGCTAAATCTCAGAAGCCATAGAAGAATATGATAAGATACAAGGTACTTCTCTCTTTGAATTTCCTTACTGTGAGCACAGAGTGTGTCTATTTTGACATTAACAGTTAGCTTGATGAATATTAAGTAACAAATGGAAGAAACATTCATTCTTGCATAAATAAATAAAAACTTGACCTTTTCCTACATCAGTAACAGGTAAGGAATTCAAGTCAATATCTACAAATTGGAAAAGATATTCCCAGTTTACTCACTTGCTTTGAAACAAGCAATCATGTTCTGCACAAATTTTGTTGTCCTGCAAAGTTTTGATGTCTGTGTTCCCATTCTGAAACTCTTTGAATTGACCTACTTTATTCAAAAGGAAAAAAAAAAATAAGATAAAGTAATGAGTATTTTCTAGATTATGAAATAATCAAAGGAAATCCAATCTTAACATTTTATTCAAACCTTCAATAAATACTTATTTAACAAGTTATTTGTGCTGGCTGTTATACTAGGTGCTGGTAATACAGCAGTGATTAAAACAGACACAATCTTTTCTCTTGTAGAACTTAACTAAAGATAAAAAGGGTTAGGGAGGGAAATAGTAAGTGTGGTGAAGAATGAGACTATTGCCATTTGACAGGAAAGGTAGAAAAAATAGAATCAGGGAGAAATTGTACAGTCCTATGAGAAACAAAAGGTCAAGTAAAAGAAGATGTAAGCATGAAAGTCTGTATCTAAAGAAAGAGGCTTGGCATGCTATAGTATTTAGGGTCAAAAAAAGTTAAATGGCTTTGTACCGTTTTGCTCACCAATGTGAACAGTAAGCCAGCTCTGGGTTTCAAAGGAACTAGCTTCATTGATACTTTACGTACTTTGCGAACTCTACCTTTCAAACATGAAAAGGTTGTGAACTCTACCTTTCAAACATGAAAAGGGAACACCACAAAGCTGGATCTGAGGGTTACAATTTAAAACTAAACAAGCCAACTGATATTTGAAAATGTGTAGATGGCTCTAATCCTATTTGATGACTTGAGATCACATGTAGAACTGCTTAAAAAGAGAAAGGAAGTGTGGCCCTTGCAATCAAAGCTCTCTTCCAAGCACCCAAATGTATCAGATGTGAATTTTGTAGAACCTTATTTGATTTAAAATCGGAAATCAGCCCACATTAACAACAAAACATGTGAACAGAAACATAAGCATTCTCCTATATGCAGATGATATTATTATCACAAGGTAGGAGTGGTCTTAGTAAACCAATGGCTCAGCTAATTATTGCTAGGAAAAAAAACCTACTTATCAAATGTTCTAAAAACAGATCGTAATTTTCTGTAGCTGTTTTCGAATTCTTGTTGGTGAATAGCGTAAATAATTCTGTAGAGCAAGTACCACAGGATATATTCTGCAGCTAGTGTATCTCGGAGGACACACGAGTAAGTTACATTTCTCAAAACCAGGTGTTTGTGGGGGCTTACTGAATTTGTATGTGTATGTGTGGTGTTGTTGTCTGTTTGTTTTTAGTAGCTGAGGTGGTTACAGTTGCTTTAAAATATTTACATGTTAAAAAAATTTTAATGTCATGCTTTATGACTTGGGGTTATGATGGCCTATTTGTCTCAACATTAGAGAAGACCCAAAATAACTCTGAAAAGACTCTTGGCCCAGTCCACAGGCAGCCATACATCCAACAATAATAGCTGCACTTTACTGAGCCTTCTACAAAGTACTTTAGATAACTTATCTCATTTAACCCTCGCATCAGTCCTATGAGGCAGAAGCAACTATTATTTCTTGGCTCCAGGCTGGAACACGCACCATTATCAGTCACATCAATTTGAATTTGAGGATGTCGATCCTATCCCAGTTCAGCTGACTGCTGAAGTGGCAGAGATGAGCTACATCCGGGGGTTGCCAGGGGGCACAATCTCAGTCATTGTATCTCAGTCTCTCTGGAAACTCCACTTAGAGAAGCAGTAGCTATAGAGGAATGGTGGAGTAAGGCGGACTGCTGTTATGATTACTGATATTGTTGTGTTTTGGAATTTTTTTCTGGAACACATTCATCACTTTAGTAATTTAATCCATTTTTGAGTTGTTGAAACCATTCCAAAATGACCTATTGCTTTGTTGGGTTTTTTTTCTTTCCTTCTTTCCTCTCTCATCTCTGTGGAGGTGCACAGGGTAGTAAGGACTGAAAAGCAAAGAAAAAAAACAGTTGTAGGTCTGCTTTTCCCCAGCCTTCACTTCAAACTCCAGAATTAAAAAACATTTTAAAATAATATTTTTATTTTTCAATTATAGTTGACATATAATTTTGTATTGGTTTCAGGTGTATAACATAGTGATTAGATATCTATGTAACTCACAAAATGATCACCCCAATAAATCTTGTACCTATCCGATGCCGTACATTGTTATTACATGTTTCTTATGCTATACTTTATATCTCCTCAACTATTTTGTAACTACCAATTTGTACTTCTTAATCCCTTCTTCCTTTTCACCGACACCCCCAAACCCCTCCCATCTGGTAACCCTCAAAATGTTCTCTGTATCTATGCATTTGTTTCTGTTTTTTTTTTTAATTATCTATTTTGTTCTTTAGATTTCACATGTATATGAAATCATATGGCATTTGTCTTACTCTATCTTACTCCACACAGCACAACATTCTCTAGGTCCATCCTGAAATATCTTTTTCCATCCCTTTACTTTCAGTCTGCGTGTGTCTTTTAATCTGAAGTTAAGTCTCTTGTAGGCAGCCTGTGTCTTGTTTCCTTATCCATTCAGACACCTTATCTTTTGATTGGAGCATTTAATTCATTTTTATTTGAAGTACTTGTTGATAGACATGTAGTTATTGCCATTCTTTATCATTCATATTTTTGATACATGTTTTCTTCTTCTTAAAGAATTTCCTCTGACATTTCCTTTAATACAATGATGAACTCCTTTAGTGTTTTCTTGTCTAGGAAGCTCTTTATCTGCCCTTCATTTCTAAATGATCACTATGATGAGCAGAGTAATTTTGGTTGTAGGTCCTTGCTTTTCATCACTTTGAATATTTTGTGCTGAGCCCTTCTGTCCTGTATAGTTGTTTTTTCTTTTTTTTT